GGATGGAGATTCTATGTAACAAATCAAAATACTTAATCTACGTCTCACCATTAGAGGGTAGGTTCTCTCATCGATATACAACTAGTCTTCAAGTACTTCATTCAAACTTTAGCAACACGCGTAAACACACTGTCCTCCAAAAGTTTGGACACCTTTTCTGATTTTTAATACTTCCAGCAATTCTTGCTGATATTCTAACCTCTATTATATAGATTATACTTAATTTATATAGTTACTTAAACCTCTACTTCTCAGAATTCACAGTGTAACTCCAATCATTTGACCGACAGTGTATATTGTATTGTAATTCTTACAATTTCTTTCTCTTTACTGATCAAATATGTACTCGATACTTCTACGATAACTAAAAACTCTACAATAAGGCAATACTATAAGGTTCGGATTAGTGCAACAATTTCACCCCGGATTAGTGCGTTTAGAGTGATTCCCACTATGTTTTTATTTATTCTCGATTCGTACACTGTTTCTCGTATCCCACAGGGGTTCGGAATAATGTATCCATCTATATTCTTTGCTTTGACAATCGTCAGAATTTCTAAGGTTGTTGCATTAATCCAAGCCTCATCGTGACACGAAACGGACGTGGAAAGTGATAAATCGACTAGGTTCGTCGGAAGATCGGCTCGAGATCTGCACGGTTACGCAAGGAGAAAATGGACAGGACGTTGAGAAACGACTGTAACATCGAGGAGAGAACCCATCCACGATTTCCCGATAAACGAGCACGATGTTCTATGATCACCCACCGCGCCCGTTACAATACCCCGTTCGTCGGTCGCGGAATACTTTCACTTAAGGTATAACTTTTCGGTACGATCTACAACGACGATATCCCGTTCAACATAAAAGGACCGGGGGAGTTTCTCGATCGTCTCGAAGCTTGGATCCTCCTCGAGGAATTCATCCGATCCCGTTATCGCTATTCGGGAGATTGCACATTTTCTCGCGTGGATTCAAGATCTTCCCCCTCTCTTTTTAATGTATAATTAAAGGTAGAAAAAAGAAAACAGATACTACTGGTATGTAGTAAGAATGTATATAAATCTATGTAACGAATGATAGACGAGCTACGATTAAAAATTATTGCATTTTTCGTAATACATCGGTAACTGCTAGAAGAGGGCAGTGTTATTTACAGAAACAATGGGCCACCGATGCACCTGGTAGTCGATAAATATATAGGAAACATATAATCTGTTCAGAACAGGAAGAAAATGATCGATATTAATATACTCTTCGGAAAGTTTACGTACGGACAACGTGTGTACATGATACGCTGAACGATTCGTGTATATGTATACGGTGTCACTGGAAGATTCGGTATCGAGAACTTTGGAGTGTGTGATAAGTGAAATGAATGGATAATAACATGGGTTTATGTAATTTACCTTGTAAAAGAAACCAATCGAGCGATGCTACGTTCAATCTGTATGGAAGAAGTGGGACGTGTTAACGCAATAATCTTTTTTTGTTAAACTTGGAACATCCTGTTTAATGACTCAATGGTAGAAAGAAATCAATTGAGAAAGAATCTGAAGCAAGAATGTCCTTGGTTATGTAAGGATTTATTCTTGCTTTTAAATAACGATCATTAGAGTGGCTTCTTGATGTACGATTATTTTTACATTTTACGACTTGCAATATAAAACCTACAAATACAAGTAACATGATTTTTTCTGCTTCATAAATTTCATAAATACATTGATGCACGTACTTTGTCTTAATTTTCTGGCAAAAGGTGCTCTTTTCAAGTCCAAAATATAAGTAAATGTTATAAAATAGGTTACACTTCTATAACTCTTGACCTTTTTACCCATTTAATCCTCTAACGATAAGGTACGGGTTGTATCCAATCCAAGTTATAGTTCCTCTTGTACTGTCCCCCATCTAATTTTTTCATTATTCTCATTTAAAAATATTTCGTATTATTTACTAAACGTATAATACATATATTATAACATGTTGTATAACTCAATAATTATTCCTTACGATATAAATAATCAAAAGAAAACTTCAAGACAGTAACTTTTGTTTACCCGTCTGAAAATAGCAAAAAGGAGCTCGGCTCGAATCGGACCTCGCCGTACCAAGTACGACCTTAAAACCCACCTTACCATTTGAGGATTAAAAAACGCAGACAAAGCAAATTTCGATAAAAATTGGTAGATACCAATTCTGTCCTCCAGTGTCACATGTCGACCCCAAGAGTTATTCTCACGTGCAATCAGGTGCACCCATGAATCTGCCCTGAGATTAACGAAACCTTTTTCATTTCAACAGGTGTAACACACTCCTAGATTCTCGAGTTTCCTCCTACGCACCCCTGCATATACACGTATATACATCACAGTTAACTAGGTAGTCGATAACCTAAGGAACTATTCGATCTCTAATCGTGTGTAGCATACGGAAACGCCAGACTCTAACCTATCGATCCGTTTCTCTTCGAACGGGATCGTTCGCCGGAGAATAGGACAACCCTAAAAATTACCATTCGTCCCGCGAGAAACACTTTGGCCCTGGCAGCGTAAAACCTGGTGTTTTAACGGCGAACAAACGGGCGCCTCCCGCGAAACAGGATTATTCCGCTTGCACGTCACGTTATTTCACTTCTCCGCGTGGCACGGAAAGGATTGGAAAATCCGCCGGCGACGAATTTTTATTATCGTATCGTCACAGTTTCCACGATCGATGCATCCCGCCGTGGAGGGGGCAAATTAAAAAAAATCTCGTTGGATCCAGAGGGCCTAGTCCCAGCGGATCCTTGCATTCCAAACCCCTGACATTAAAAGATCATCCGGCTACGGTCAACTTGAAGATCTACGAGGCCCAACGGAACGGTAGATACACGTGGTTCGTGGTATCTGCTGTTCTGTGAACCTTCACCTTGCCTTTCACTTCTGTTCGGAGATCTTCGCGGGTAGATCCGGAAGGTTCGATTTCATGAATCGAGGAAGTGTTGTGGGACTAGTAGAGTTTGATGATTGTGGGGTGAACTGTGTATGTGGAAAATGTTTTGCTGATCGAGATTGGAAATTCTATGCAAGATCCTTTTTGGTACGTCTATTGGTCTTAACATTTACAAGGGAAGGCACGAAAGTGTCCCCCTCCGATTTCAATAAAACTTCGTATGTCTGTTAAGCAGTCAAAAATAAGGGATATGTATTTTTTTTTATCGGCTAAGACGCGAGTTTAAGGGGTGAAACCACCCCTCGAAGTTTCGATCCGAAATTTTTTTGTTATAAACAAATTTTATTTTGGACAATTTGTTAGCGCCATATTATTTTACATAAAAACCGCAAAACTCGTCCATTAGAAGTTTTGGGTCGAAACTTCGAGGAGTGGTTTCATCCCTTAAAGTCGCGTTTCAGCCGATAAAAAAAATACGTATCTCTTATTTTTGACTGCTTAAGAGATATACGAAGTTTTATCAAAATCGGAGGGGGACACTTTCGTGCCTTCCCTTGTTAGTCAGTTTTTCTACTAGTTCGAAATTCGACCCAGGATCTTTCTACTGGTCCACTGACTATATATAGTTTGATGTGAATAATATGAGCTTTATATTTGACAGTAGTGGAAGATATAGTGCGATGTAGTAATTAAAGTAGATTGTAAATGTAAATGATTTAACCTTTAATTCCTAGCTATGAAATTTACTCGGCTACATATTTTACCGAGAACGTAAAATACTTTTTTACAAGACCGTGTGACTTCGAGATATTTGCGTTTGATATCTATCCGGGAGTACAAATCTCCATTCATGATGTACCTTGACACGTTGGTGCACATAACAGGGCTACTGTATCCCATTGTAAACAAGAATTGTGTGGTAGTTCGATAAAGTGTGACTTACTTAATAAGTGGAAATTGCGTATAAAATATAGGGAATGTGATAACTATTTGTACTGTTAGATTATAATGTAGTTGAGTAACAAATGACGGAAGAAGCAGGATCATCTTGTGTCTAATACTCAATTCGTAATACTACGAGATACGCATTTAATGTATACAGAGACATAAGTCTAGAGAATACTTTCATTGTAAATTTATAGAATCTAGTGCAATTTCCCATACACATAATATAATAGTAATGTAGTCAATTGAAGTGTCAATTGAAATGTGGAATGTAAATAAACAATATTTGTTCCAGTTTTATAACTATCGATCCGTGGATATTGTACTTCGTACGAATATGAATGTTTAATAAATATAGTATAATAATTTAATAGAGATAAAAATGAATTGTGAAGTGTCTTCATTGTATCCTTATATAATTATGTTGGTATGAATTACAATAACTAATAGGAGGGTGAAACAAATATCTTACAATTACAAGAATCTCTGACAAAGAAGAATGTAAAGTGTTCTTTTCCAAGCGAAACTATCTTTTATACTTCGAATCTACCATTACATTCATTTCCGATTACACAAAAACTTCGAACCTTCCAGATCCCCCACAAGAAGTCCCAAAACGCTCCCGACACTCGATCATCAAACGCTGTCAGCAAAATCGTGAAACGAAAGAAACGAAGAACGCAGAGCGTGAATACAATTTGTAACCGTCGGCACGTATAAACCGCAAGAAACAAAAATTATGCCCTGAACTCACAACCACGAAGAAGCATCCGTGACTTCGTAGGTACAGGAAACGAAAAATTCGCTGAAAACGACGTTTCTATATCGAATAATAATTCTAAATCGAAAAAGTATAGTTGCCGCACGTGAGAAAAAAAAAATAACCAAACAAGACACGCATCGAAAGATACACTCTGTTTTCATTGGAATTTGTTCTCGGATAGCCCCTTCGGATAGGGGTGTAAGGCTGAACGAATCGCCCGTTCGGACGATCGTCGGTCAGGCAGAGACGGTGACAAAAATCAAGAGGAAAAATAAACAGAGACGTAACACAACGATTATGCATTTACACGTGGGCAGAAAGAAGCGTCATGCGGTGCAGCCAAGCGTGCGTTGCTGTTTACCTGCGAACGGCACGTCCCCGAAGTATTCCTCGACGTTGTCCGTGGACATGCTCTTGTCCGACAGGGACACGCTCGACAACGAGCCGCTGGACGCGTCCAAGCTGCCGCCGGCCGGAAACTGCAGTAAATCCTCGTCGGTTTCCGTTTCCATGTCGCGGGACCTCCGTTTGTATACCTGACACAGGTAAACACACAAGTGCGGGACTCTTTGAGAATGGATCCTTATTTGATTTCTGTAACGCGACGATCACGACATCAACGCATCGGGAACGATCTCTGTCATCTGCGCATGGATCTTTGCGTTATGAGGCCGGAAGTCAACGTTGCAAGAGCAATAGAAAAAGAGGATAGAACGATACATATTTTTGTCTTTAATATATAGACTTGTTGAAAATATTCCTGGCAGTGGAAGACAATGGGAAATATCCCAATAGGACAGGGGGAAATATTCTTGTCAACTACTTATCCGTTGAGAAGTAACTATTGGAAAAGAATAATATTAAAAAAATATAAAGTTGCTTAGTTTTCGAAGACGAATATTATGTATGTCTTTAATACATAAACTCGTTGAAAATATCTCTGTCCAGTGGAGGACAATGGAAAATATCCCAAAAGGACAGTGGGAAATATTCTTGTCAACTACTTATCCGTTGATTAGTAACTCTTGGAAAAGAACAATATTAAAAAACGATAAAGTTGCTTAGAATTTTTAAGATAAATGCTATGGTAAGTCTTACGTAAACTGTTTTTTGGATTCATAGAAAAGATTGGTTTGACCTTCTGAGAAGTTGAATGATTATTGGCCTGACAATCAATATGTTAATGAGTGCTGTTTCAATAGTCCATGCTTGAAGTAAGTGGAATATTTTTGTCCGCTATTCGTATGAGTTACTTGCGATATTTAGAGTATCTGATTGTAAATCGGCAGCGCAATAAACGTTACATTATTCGTTTCTTTTTCGAAAATTCACAAATTTTCATGTTTCAGCGATATTACGTTGCGAAATTACCGAAAGACTGATCAAAAATGACGTTTCGCGTGACAGCGTTTACAAACGATACACGGGATTCATTCATCCGCGTCGCGGGGATCGAAAACGCCCGCGCGCGGTGCAAATAAAAGCGATCCCAGCTCGATAAAAATCTATTGGGCGAGATTTATTTGCACGTTCACTTGATACGATTATATAAAATAAACCGTATAAAATATAGATCGGGAAAATAAATCTCGTATGAAAAAATATTTGTTCGAACTTTCGATTCGCAATTTCAGGTGCGTCGCTGTGCGCGCGACGATATTAAAATTTCAATTTACCGGATCCATCGGGAATACCTCGTCCGGTATGGTTACCTAACCCAGACCTGGCTATCGATCACGTTTTTCCCTACTAACTATTAGACAGCCAACCAGTAACAATATAAAATCACGTATGCCATCCGAATCGATTCTTCAAATCCTGTACTTAAAATTGGAAAACCCAAAGTTTCCCATAACTACAAGAAAAGGGTAGTCCAATATTCTCCTTGCTCTCGAAAGAATCCAATTCCTTCAACATCAGTCACTGAAACACACTACAGTAGACTCTATCTATATTGCCACTAAACACATAGCCACACGAGGCACTTCCCCTTCACACGTACTTTCGCGCCAACACGATCCAGATTTGCGCAGGCGCCGAGGCCGAGGTCATGGCGACAGAACTAAGCATGGAGGGGGCTCCAAACTCATTGCCATTTTACTCCCCAACAGCCCCGAATATGGCAATATAGTTAGAGTCTACTGTACCTGCCAAAACTAAGGGACCAATTCTAATAACAAAAGAAATAGAAAAATATTATTCTACAAAGATTTGATGAAAGTAATAAAAGTACCAGGAAATAATTCGTATATGTACTTATTCAGTAACGTTTATTACATTGTAACACAATAATGAGTTACTCATTATTGGTCCCATACTTTAGGCCAGTAGTGTACACCATCAAACCTGATGTAAAAGTAATGCCCTACGAGTGATATCTTCAGCACAACATTGAAATCATCAAAACCGTTCTGAACCAACACGACTGGACCACCTATCTCCCTCGTCTTCCAAATATCCCCCCTGTACTTAAACCACAAAACTCAAAGAGTAAAGAAAAATTCTCATTCCCAGAAAGGGAAGTCCATCACCTATAATACTCCCCTTTTAGCAGAACGGTGTCATTTACGGAAGAGATTCCGTCGAGTCGCGGATCGTCCTAACGCAATTAAAATTTGACGCCAGAGGAGTCGACAGACAGAAGAAGAAGAAGGGGGGGGGGAGGCACATCTTGTCTACGTATAACAGGAAACCGTCACTACAAATTCGTAGGTTTCTCCGAGGCTCCGCGAGGAGAACGAGCGTTCACAGGGAGAAGTCAGACAGGCATAGAAGCCGACGAGGGCTTCATTATTCAAAGGGTGTCGGCGTCTTGCGTTCTGCCGCTCTGTTGGATCCGCGGAAGTTGACGGGTGTGAAGCAACCATCCGTGAGCAGTCCTCCACCCGCCTACCGCCTCATCCTCTCAGCGCCAGGCTTCTCGCTGCCTCGGTTCCTCTCTTCCAACGATCCTCACGGATTTTCCGCGATACCCACCCCTTGATCCCGTCATCGAATCGCATCTGGCACCTTCCGCGATCGGCGACGATGCCTGGCGAACGATCCAACGACGGTTCGTTTGCCGTGGATACTACCGACGTTGGCGAATGTCGAGAAAAATGTTGGCGACGCCGCTGATCTTAGGTTTTTGACTGGACTTTGTTTCGATGCTAAATGTCAGTCACCTCGAGGCTTGTTATTAGATTTTCGCGACTGTGCATTCTTGGGGTAGTTGTAATGGCTTGAAAAATTCTTGATATGAGATTGTTAAGCTTCATTCGTTTTTCATTTTCCTAACTTAATTTGTCCCTCGGTGTCAAATTGACAGAGTGGTAAAAACTTAGTGTAATGAAGAGGTAATGTAAGAAGAAGCTGAATAAAAATTCTTGATATAAGATTGTTAAGCTTCATTCGTTTTTCATTTTCCTAACTTAATTTGTCCCTCGGTGTCAAATTGACAGAGTGGTGATAAGTTAATGTAATGAAGAGGTAAATAGTTAAATTTGTAAATTCTTTGAAGTAAAGTCAGGGAGCCTCAGGTAAATTTCTGTACATATGATGGAAAACATCATTTCTTAGGAGAAAAATGGATTAAGTAGATACATGGGACGGATGAGGGTTAATTAGGGTGATATCAGACATCGAAGATTTATTATTACGCTTTCGCGTGTTTTGTTGATTCATTGCAAAAGGAAAATGTATCCAATGAGATATTCCTTGCTATTTTTTGATCTTATGCAAAATGGTATCTAGTATTCGTGTCCATTAAATCGAAATTGAATACATCGTTAAAAGAATAAGTCGTTCATACGGACCGAAAAATTGATCGTGAGGTTCATTAAAAAAATGTATAGATGTATGATTTAATCATTTGTAAGCTCGGTACGAAATCTCTTACTGATCTGTATAGTCATTAGAATCACGTCATCGGCAATATCTGAAGGGAAACTTTGAAACACACAAGTGTCATTGTGTTCATTCTTTTCTTTATCAGAACCTTTTATAGAATGCTATCAAGCTGTCCAATTGTTCGTTGGAAAAATCATCCAGAAATGTTCTAATAACATGTATCGATTCATTAAGAAATATTATCTGCAAGATTCGTAGCTCTTGTTAACATTGTTAAAGTTTCAGATTAAGAATAATTCCATTGCAGTAGAAACTACAATTGAAACCTGCACACAGCAAGCGATTTCACACACACTCTCCCCCCGACAGCAGCTAATCGTACTCCAGAATCGGATCCACGGATCCATCAACAAACATTTGACGTTCCCCGGTCGCTTAAACAGGTCCTTTATCGTCGTAACGCGGCAAGAGATGGCTAAATTGTCCCGAAATATCGTCCGATCCCAACGTTGATGAGATTTACGAGGGTTCAATCGGAACAGAGAGAGGTTGACTCGTTATCGGTAGTCGCGGGACCCCGGTCGCCTGCCAATTACCGTCCCGTTAGATTGCCAGATGCATATACGCGTGGCACCGACGAAATTGCGAATCGTCGTTCCGTGTTTCCCCGTCGAAACACGCCAGAGACAATTCCCAGAACAGTCGAACGAAAAAGAAGAAACACCTGCCAGGTGAACCATTCTAATTAAGCATCGTTTACAAAAAAAAAAAAAAAAAAACTATCCGCCAGTTCCTATCAGACTGCTTCGGTTTTCTTGGTCGGATCTAGGTGTGCATCGGTCCAGAAAACGCGGGATCGTCTGTGCAAACAGACAAAGGTCAAAGACTCCTAAACAGCATACGCGATATCGTATACGTGAAATCCGCAGGCGTTAACTACACGATCCGACATAGGAACGCGACGTTTTCCTCGTAAACACACATAGACACAGGGCATCCGAAAGCTTCTTGCCGTCATCCAGCTCCTCGTTCGAAGGATATATTCACTGTGCGATACCTCGTGAAGCGTGTATAACCGCTGAAAGACACGGATTGCGAGCGCGTATAGCAGCCAGCGGAAAGGAAGCACCGAGTGTAGAGGGATCTCTGTTAGGGTGGTGTGGTCCGGGGGAAAGACGACGAACGTACGAGGAGAAGACGACGGTTAAAGAGGGCAGAAGATAGAGACATATAGGAGAAATAGAAGGCGGTAGGGGCCGCGATGTGTAGATGTGTGTATGTATGTGTGTTATGGATATCCATTCGCAGAGCGGATGGGAAGTGAACGTGTAGTCGGTCTCACAGCAGAACGATCACAGGATGACGCGGCAAACGGCGGGAAACGAGCGATATACAGGCTGCAGCTAGAGGAGCAAGAGGGAGAGAGGGCTCCTTGCAAATCGCATCACAGATCAAACACGGGTTGTATATTAAACGTAACCTGCTAAGGCGTCCTACAGACTGCTTATCTACTGTCCAAACTTTAGGGTCAAGCTGCACACGTTTGGGGATGTTCGAATGGCTACGAAGCCTAGTATTCTTCAGCCAGCTAGCTGCGCAGACGGTAGCAACCTGGATACTTGATTTTTAATAGCGATAAAACGTTTCTGAATACCGTTCGGCGCTTCCCGAAATGAACATTCCAAGACCAGTACTTTTGCGACCCGAACCAGTTCAGTCAACGACGTTTGACGTCTACCGACACGCGATTGCCGCTACGTGCACACGCACGTATCCGCCGCTGAAGAGCAGCCGAGGATGCGAAATTGAACGCCCGCTTCGCACGCACCGCTGGATACCGTGCGACGAATCACGGAGACGCCTCCGTGCGTCAGCCGCTTAAGACCAGGCCACGGAATCTCTGATCGCGTGTGTGGGCCCACGTCGACGCGATTGGAAAGCTAATGTCCCGATTGCTGTCAGCGTCGCTACGCCAGCAACGTGGGGAAATGCGATTCCGTATCGTGTGTTGAATCGTGATCGAAGAATCCTTCGAATAGGACGGGTGTTTGGAATTGTTTGGTGAACGTTGGTGACGCTTTGGTCGAATTTTCGAGTGATTTTCGTGACATTATTCGTGACGTATATCCCCCACTGTACGCCCCGCACGCAGTACCCGATCATAGAGTATGGCAAGCGACACAGTAAGGGATAATTACCAACGACCATCGCCACAGGACGATGATCAACGATCACAGAGAGGGGGAAGATCCCTGAACTCCTTAGCTCGGGGTTGTCCAAACATTACTCTAAAACTTACAAACACTTACCTGACTCAACGGACCGATCCGCTCGTGTATGGACTTCTCCGCCTGTTTCGCCGACGGCGGCGGATGATCCGGGGTCGGTGGTTGTGCGTAGTGGGTGGGACTGGTCGGTAGCATCATTTGTACTCGTTTCAGGCGCTTGTCCATCGCCTCGCGGCCCTCGTTCGCCGACTCGTCGTTGGTGTCGCGTTTCTCGTCCAAAAGACTCTCCTGCGAGGACTTCAAGGTGAGAAACGCGCTGGACACGAACGTCTGCTCCTGTATGACCGAGTCGATCTCGCTGCACGGGGATTTGTCAGCGCACGGGCTGCTACCTGGCTCGAAGCTGTCGAATGCGTGCCTGCGCAACTTCCGTCGTGGATTCAACGTCTTGATCGGCCGGTTCTCGTAGATCGAGGTGATCGCGACCGGTTCGACGTTGTTGTCGCGCCTCTCCTCGCTGTCCTGCACACGTGACTTCATTTCCACGTATTGGTCCACGCTCCTGGTCACGTGACGCAATTGGTCCCGGCGTTTTTGCAGCTGTTCGAGATCGATGTGACTACGGGCACCGCTACGAGCCATGAACAAGTACTCGTAGTTGCTCGGACCGAGCGTGCAATCCGCGGACAAGGACATCTGGGTCTGCAGCTGGGTCGGCGACACGGACAGGTTGCGTCTAGGCGGCTTCTTCGGCGGCGTTGGCTGTAACGTGAAGAACGAAGGATCGTGCTAATGAATATACCGAAGCTTTTAACAGGTACGGGTTTCTGAGAAAGATACCGACGATAAAAAGCTACGGTAGCGATACCGTGTTCGGGAGAACAGAGTGCTAAGTTTTAGGTAAATAAAGTGTGACACACGATCGAGGATGGCAGATGGAACTTCTTTTAAATTGTAATTAAATTAACTTTTAATTTAATACTTGTTTGTAGGAAACGAATCTTTTTGAGTGTTTCTAATGGCACCGAGCTAGTAATAACACAAGCATAGATAGATGTTACTATTTCGTGACGGTTTCGCGAAACAGCTTCGAGAGGAAAAGCACAACGGACGTCAGAATGCCGGGCCAATTAAGCCGCGATCAATTTGTCCACGTTAACGAACTGTAAGGCGTGTAGATGTTACACGGTTGAGCTTCTCGTTTTTAAAAAAAAAAAAAAAAAAAAAAAAAAGAATCAATCACCGACAGAAAGAATAAAAAGGCGAGAAATTATGATCTTATAATGAGACAAGGACTGAGATTCTTCATCGGTAGGTATATTAATTAAAATAAAAAAGAATCACGGGTAAAATTCTACAAATTTTATATTAAATCGTGTCATAAAATATTAATCTATGACAGTATTATAACAGTCGCAAAATAGGTCACAGTAAAAAGGTTCAAAGAAAAACTTCGGGTGTAGTCGCGTGACCCCGTGCGACCCTCGATCGGATCGAGGAACCAAAAGGAAAAGGGAACTCGTTCTTACCGAGACTTTATTGTTAGAGGCGGGGCTGTGGAGAGAACTGGACAAGGGTGCCATTGGCAAGTAAATCCCAGCGGCGCTGGAATCGTTGGGCAAACAACGCCGGTCCCGTGGGCTCGGTCCACCGACGCTCGAGGACGAGGAAACGCTCAATTGGTCCGACTCCCTGCCACCCCCGTATCCCGTGGGTAATGTCAAGGACAGATCCTCCGACACGAAGCTACCCTCCATTGTTCCTCGAGGTACCGGTGGCGTTTGGTACAATCCGCTGTCGGAACCCCTGCGCAACCAAACTGAACGTCTCAACGGGACCATTTCACGATTAACTGGCTAATGGGTTGATCGAGTTCTCCTTTCTTTTTCACTTTCGATAACGTGTGCGATCGATAAAATAGTGGCGCTTTGCTCGCGACACATTGTGCATCGTATGCGGTTGAAAAGATTACTGAAATAATGGAGAGTCTCTACAGTTAGGCGAGTATTTTTCGTTTCTTTCAATACACTTTGAAGAAATTAGAAATTTAAATGTTACTGCGTTGTATAATGAATAACGTCGACTAAAAAGGTTCATGCCTCTAAAAAATATTGCTTTCAGTTCATCTTCGATAGAAGTGATTGTGTTTCTTGTTTTATCTAAATTTTACTTTAAATAACAAATAGAAATTTCGTTGCTTATGACGAGTATACTCGCCATTAAAGAAACAAATGTCATGATTATGTTTCTTGTTTTATCTAAATTTTACTTTAAATAACAAATGGAAATTTCGTTGCTTATGACGAGTATACTCGCCATTAAAGAAACAAACGTCATCTTCTCATGACGAGTATACCCGACATAAAAATCGAGAGGGTTAAATAAAGCAACGGAAGTGCAATTCAAATTGAATGGATCTTGAATGAAACATGACTCTTCGAGGTGACATAGAATGATTTCAATGGACATGAATCGAAAGCGCTGCTTATGGTAATGCGAAATGTCTGCATGTCTTTACCGTGTGGTGTCGCGTTGTGCTAACGGTATTCTGTTGGTGGTAGTGTTTTGTGGTTTGTCGTCGGGAGTTTGATCGGAACTGTCGAAAGTGTTTATCGAGTTCAGAGTGTCGGACATGGACATAAAGACACTGTCGAAGACGGAACTGGGGTCGGAGTCCTCTGTCTGCTGGAGGGTCCTCCGTACACCGTTCACCGGACCCCCGATCTGCTCGTCTTCACTGAAAATCCGCAATCCATCGAGTGTCGTCAGATTCGAGGGCGGTCTAGAAGCATTTATCTACCGACGCATACTGAAAGCGAAGCAACGCAACTGGCATTCGTTCGCTGAAGACGACGCAGCGTGTGACAAAGTGTCGTCGCCGAGGCTGTTGTGTTTTCGTGTCGTTGGATCGTAGTTGCATTGACAAATTAAGAATTTTGCAAAACGAAGCAACAACTCTCGGAATAAAACAATGAGTACTATTGAAGACAGTTCTACCGCAGACAAGGTATAGGAGTAGACTTTCATTTCTGGGGTGTCGAAGTCCCATTAATATTTTAGTATGATTACCCATCGTTTTCATAGCACTCATATCATAAGTCACTAAAATCACTGGTTTTTCTAAAATAGACTGATAAGGTGACAAGTCTGCTCCTATAACTCATCGGTGGTTCTACTATATTAACACAACGCAAACCCTTTTACTATCCCTGTCCAAAGCATCTATAAGAACTGATTACTAGGACAGGGCATTGATCGATACGAAACGTTAGTCGAAGATATTTCAAGTCGATGAACTACACGACTAACCCCAGTCATCTCGATCCCGAACCACGCGTCAAATATATCTAGCAGCAACCATTCGATGCTCCCTCGAAACACAACAGCCAGCCGAACGAAGCATAAGAATTCATCGGTCAGGCAACAACGGAAAGAATAGCACTCGGGTAGCATCGTTTCCTCCAACAATGCGTAACTCCGACCGGAGACGGCCCCGCGCAACGGCGGCGGTGGGTGCCGACTTTTTAATGAGGCCACGTAGACGAGGTCGGAGACGAGTGGTTGAAACAGAAAGAGAAGAGGAGGAGGAGGAGGAGGAGGAGGAGGAGGTAACGGTGGAGAAGTATGAGGTAGGTAGGTAGGAACAAGCGAAGGTAGAGGTGAATGAGGATCCGGCGAACCGCGGCTGGAGGCCATGCCCATAGGACGGAAAGGGGGGTAGAGAGGAGCAATGGTTATTAGTTTTATGCTGAGACGGGCTAACATTTACATTGTTTAACGTGATGGATTCATCTCGAGGCAGCCCGAGAGCCACGGCTACCGACGTCAAACATTGACGGTGGAGGTGCGGAGAGAAAGAGAGAGAAAGAGCACACAGAACAGGTACCCAAGCGCTGGTCTCCTTTCTCACTCAGTCCACCTATCGTCCGTCTCGGTTGGTCTTCCTTCCTTGCTTGGTACAGCCCCACTCCCTTTTTACCTCTGTGTCAGTCTTTTGCTTGCCCAGCGTCCTCTTTCTCCGTCTCTGGGTCGGGGGGCAACCAGTAGCGCTTAGCAGTTAGCGGTAG